CACATTACATGTATAAGCAGCTGCATCAGCAATAGTACAATAATAGTAATGCGAGTGAAGCATGTGTGTGTTTAGTTGCAGTTGCTTCAATTGGTTTTTTGAACCAATTTGAAGATGGTTTGCCCTTCATCAAGTGGCACAGCAGGAATAATAGTATAACCGTGTGCTGTGAAAGCGTTGATATTATGAATAGTGGGCGTGAATATGAGTAATATATATCAACAATCTAAAAAACAATGGCTATCAAAAAATACAAATTAAATATTAAATAGTAAAATACAATGGGAAAGATTTGATGTCAAGCCTGGTTGCCTTAAAATCGCTACACTGTCGCTACAGTGTTTTCAGTGCAATCCTTGTACTGGGTAGTCCCCGGCGACGCAATCGGGAAGGCTCCCCTATTCAACCGACTAATCAGCATCACCGAAAGCTGCCGGCGATAGCGTGTAGCGATTGTATGGAAACCAAGCTTAAATACTGTAATGCGAAACAAAGCAGAAACAGGATCAATATCAGAATAAGTAAATGAAAGTATCAGGAAAAAATATGTGCCTACTTAAGAATATTAAACAAATCAAAGCATAAACAAATTTATAATGAAAAGTATATAGTTATTGTTTAAAACAAGTAAGGACTAATCTAACAATTATATATTTTTCCAGCGCATTCAAACGCTTTCGCCGACTCCTTTAGGCGACGCTGATTTGTCGGTCGAATGGGATTAAAATTGTTATCAGTGTTTTTTTCTTTCTCAATGTTAATATATAAACTGTCTAGAATACTGATCATTATATGCTATGTTGGTATTCCTCATGGATGCGTCATCTCTCTCTCGCTCTCTCTTGCAATAGAAAAATACTAGTCGGTGTCAGTTCGAGTTTCATCTTTGAATGATGACAATTGACAGGTGTAGAAAAATAATACTTTGTAAATTTGTGCGAAAAAAAAACCAATCGGAAACATAACACACAGTAAGTACAATGCAAACTCCAATCAATGAAATACACGTGCTTGGATTCAATATTTCGATTCTTCTCAATAGAGCCTTCATACTTTTTTCCAGCGCCGCATTCTTGCCAATAAATAGACGTTTCAAAAACATACCAAGGTGTTTGTTCATGTTATGTAGATGACCACACAATAATTCTATTAAATCGCAGCACAATGACATGCGTTTTGGTGCTAAATATTAATCCCCAGAAGTTAACATAAGACAGTAGACCCATAACCAATAAAATATTCTATGACTTTGATCAAGGACTTAATATAAGTCCTTAGTTTGATAGATCAAATATAATTACTGTTTGTTATAAGGAATATATTATAGTAACTCTTTAGAAAAAGGGAGAAAACTATTGTATAAGTATTCCGACAATAACACAGTGCTAACCCGATATTTCTTAGGAAGTGATATTCATTAGAATTACAATGATAATCTAATGAGTTAAACATTCGATATGCCTGGTATAATATTACGAATCGTGAGAGGATCATCCGATCAAGCGTCTGTTTACGCTGGTTATGAAACTATGGAAACAAAATGTGATTTTCAGGAAATGCGTGGTACAGTATGTTATTTAAGCTCATTAAATGACGTCAGTGGAGAAAACAAAATAACTTGTAAAAGTACGAAAGTGTACTCTCATACTTTACTGAATAACGTGTCTATCAATCAAATAGCCTACGTATCGGTACTTGTTAATCAACTTGGAATCCAAATTTGTTATTGAAAAACCATTCCCGTATTTATACGTCAGGAACATTAGCATTTACAGGACAACCAGACCTGCAGGTAGACCTCTTTGGGTCTCCAGGGCAACTTAAATACGTGGCGAAAGACAACTTTTTACTGGCTTGCTATAAATCAAGGACCAAATGGGTGTCATAGAATGGCTTTCTCATAGTTTATGAAATTTTGGGGATTCCCCTAAAGTCTTCTATTGACTCCAGTGGTCCAGGGCGCGGCTATCACATCAAAGTTCATTTCATTTGACAGGATGGTCCTTGCATCATTATTATTCTTTACAGTAGAACACTCTTAAAGGGACACCTTTGGCACAAAAATGTGTCCCCTTAATAGGGGTGTCCCATGAGCAGGGGTTGGCCGTAAAAAATTAAAAGATATACTTTCCCTTTTATCGTGGCTGAAAAAAAAAAATGTTTCCTTAATAGGGTTCCTCCTAGGGCAGGAGGGGTTCTACTGTATTTTAAAAATACCCGAAAATGTTTGGAGACATTATAATAAACTGGTGTGTGGCAGTGTTTGCTCACAATAACAGTCCAGAGATCTAGCAAATTTAACTGTTCTAAAAGCTTCTCAAACATGCCGCAGATCTACGTTCCGTACATTTCATTGGATTTTTAAAAGCTTAAATAGGCCTACATGACGTAACTCATATAATTAATGAAAATATGAACGTACAGTACTTTAATTGTTATAATACATTTACGTCTAGGCATGGGCTATGGTCCATGTTAAAGTCAGGCTCCGGAGGAAATAAAATTTTTGATATGCTGTAGAACTGATTTTTCTAAGACAGAAAAAAGTTGTTTGACGAAAAACTGGGTAACGGTGAATGAGATACAGATTTTTTAATATTTAAAAACTGGGGGGAAAAAGGGGCATAACTGCCCATTTTACACCTTATTCCCCCAGTTTTTAAATATTAAAAAATCTGTATCTCATTCACCGTTCCCCAGTTTTTCGTCTTTTTTCTGTCTTAGAAAAATCAGTTCTACAACATATCAATTTTTTTTCCCTCCGGAGCCTGAATTTAAAAAGTTCGAATACACCACGCATGTCAGTAGTACAGCGGAAACCAGGGGCGAATCCATGATGTCCCAAAGGTGTAGTCGATCGAGAGAAAATACTACCGTACCCTAGGGGGTCCGTGGGAATTTTTTGTTTTCTAGACGCCCGGAAATAAACTCTGAGGCGTTTTGGCCGACAATAATTTCTTTTTATTTCCCGCCTGAATGGACCAGTAGACCTACACCCTACTTTTCTCTTAAACGGTGCACACGAGCCAATTGTGTACACGTGGCCTACGGTTTAACGTCCTTATCTGAGAAGAAGTCAGTCGAGCACCGATGTTATCGTGAACACGTGGTGGAACTGTGCCGAAGTTGAAAAATGTCTCGTGGCGTATTCGTCGCAAGAAGAACAATTATTTATAAGTTACACCACAAATAATTATCATTTTAATATGTTCAATCCTTTTTAAACGTTGGATTGAGTTTACCGTCGTCAAGCGTAATTTTTGTTGTTGATTCTCCAGCATTTCCTACTACTAATAACTCATTCATTTCTCCTTTGGAATTCATTTCCATTGCATTTCTCTGAGACAAAGTTGGCGAAAGTCCATCTGTCCGTAACACATCTGCCCGTAAAGGTCTACAACTAATTGGTACAACCTGTGGGATAGCATCAGAACCGCTACACGGAGTCTGACTAAATAACATTAACAGGACAGGCAATATGAACAGGCCATGGGCCAACCCTAAAGTGATGACGAGAAAAATAGTCTTAAAAAAGGTGCGGAATATGTAAATGTCAGATGAAACCAGTACCATAATGCCGAGGATAGTGGAGCATGCGCCCTGTGCAATTGGCATACCAAGTGCATAAAAAGCTGCCCTAGCCCTGGCATCATTCGTTGAACCATCAGCAATGGAGAATGCGTATGCCATATGGGCGGAAAAATCTACACTGAAGCCGACGCAGAGTATGATGTTTATCATAGAGACCGAATCAAGCTTAACTCCCCAGAAAGACATCAGACCAACAACACCAACTTCAATTGAGGCGATAGACAGTGCCACCCATATGGCACAAATTGGCTTTGGTATTAGAAGCAAAGACACCAGGAGCATAGATCCTAGAGCTATACACAGGTTTTGTACAGTGTTTGGCAAAACTGCCTCGTATTGGTCGATAAATATGAACGATGGATGGAAGACAATTATATTCTCGTCGGCATCGTCTGCTAATTTTCGCATATTATTCATCATGGCGGCTTCTCTTGTAGAATTTGTTATATCACGCGTTAGAACATAAAATCGCGAGGTTTTAATCGAGTTAGCCTCTGCGTTGAAGATTATATCTAGTGAATATTGTTTGTAAATGTCAAATTGTAAGAATTCTTCAGTAAGAATTCTAAAGAAGTCCTCTTTCGATGGATCATTATTCCCGACTACGTCAAGGTAGTCGAGATAATCCCGAAGCCACCATGTTGTGAATGTATCTCCATGTGTGAATTGAGAACCTTCAAATCGTGCAACGATATCATCGAGCTCCTCTTGTACAGCGGGTTTCCAATATTCATGTTCATCGTTGAAAACAACAGCAACAGCCGGACCATACCTCTTAAAAAATTGAGTTTCGTAGTCATAAAATGGGACAACGTACGATTTGTCAGATGCAATGTTCCTTAGCTCTAAACCCTCTTGAAGACGTGTCACACCAAGTATGGATATTCCTAGATACACAATATAAACTACGATTGTCAGTATTTTCACAATAGGATGGCAAACAAATGGAGCAAAATAATCTCGAAAAAACAGCATCAGAGCATGCGAAGAATCCTGTAATTGATACTCAGGGTGGTTATGTGATGGACCACCAGCGCAGAATATCTTGTAGGTTAGGCTTGGCGCTTCGTCAAGTGGCCGAACTACATTGCAACTTACACAGTGTCGATTCTTGTCTTCTCGACGACCCGTCAGTACCATAGCTGCGGCGAAAAACGTGACCTGATAGAAATAATCAAAGAGAACTGCAACTCCTGTGAAAATACAGAAAATCTGAACAGAGGGAAAGTAAGTTATTGTTCCTATGCCAAAAGCGAGGGCATCAGTGAGAGATGTTATTGTTATAGACAATGCAGCTTCGCTGAGAGTTTCGGCCATTCGATCTTCGACAGTGGAACAAACGTTAGTTCTACGCCAAGCACATATCATTATGAACATGTCGTCAACGCCGATACCTAATGAAATAACAAAAATATACTTTATCTTAAACGCATTGTTAATCGCAGAAAATGTGAACCTTTCATTAGGCCTAGCAATATAAATTCAATGGGTTGTGCATTTATTGGAATGTGCAATGCGTTGTTTACATTACCAAAGTGCAATACAAAGTGTAAATTTATTTCTGTGCATTGCTACAGACCCATACATACAATAATTGATAGGAAAAAAAAAACTTACTGAGAATCAAAATAGGTGTGCTTGCAACAATGTCAATGAAAGGAACACCACAAAAGCCTAGGATACCAAACGTACTGAGGATAGCAAATCCAGCGGACAACACTCCAAGACACGCTAGCCATGGTTTATTCTGGACCCAGTCCAATTTAGTACAAGACCAGATAGAAAAGGTTATAATCAATGTAAAAGCGATGGTAAACGTACCAAACACCTCCCCACTAGCTTTATTCAATTCCTGCTGCAGTGACTGTGACGTGTAACGTGTTACTTCAACAGTATCTGAATGAAAGTTTTCCAACAACTTCACAAACTCATCCTCCCAAATTGCGGACAAGCCGTCGGTATCAATATCATCCTTAAGGTTGTACTCAAGTTTGATAGCCGCAGCACCTATGATAATGCTCGTGTTGCTTTCAAGAATCTCTCCCCCAATTCCAGAGCCTAAAAAGTAAACTCGATTTTGTTCTGTAGAAGCCCAGTATGGGTACGTGACTGGGTTTTGGTTTTCATTCATATTACTGTTAATTCCACTGAAATTAAACACATTGAGCACATCATTCGCAATTCTGATTGGGGCCCTCCCCCCCCCCTGCTGGCGCCGCCCCTGTTTGAGCCATAAACTTAATATCAAACCAGAAATTTTCCTCTCAACATCAAAATGGACATTGGATTGTTACAGGCCTAGTGTATATGTTTCTGTACTTCGTTAATACAAACTTCTTCATTTTCACCACATGGGGGTTTCTTATTTAGCGTATTATATTATAGCCTGCACCCTGATTTTAAGTTGTTACTCTATTTATGCTAGGCCTATTCTATCTTGTACATCCAATAGAAAGCTCAAAATAAATAAACAACATGTACAACTTGTTGTTTTAATAACGTTTCTGTTATTTCATATCATAATGAATTGCTTTTACATTGCAAATTATTGTTATAAAATTAGTAATAATACAACTGTAACTCATCTTCGGCCAATTAAAATATAATTACAAATAATCTATGTCATCATTGTACGAAACCATACCAAAAACCCCTATTAAGGCGACAATTTCACATTTTTTGGTCAGTGTCCCCTGAATAGTACCCCTATAAAAGGGACATTTTTTGGGTGCCCTTAGGGGTTGTACTGTATTTTCGATCACCAACGAACTTTAATTAACTTCGCATATCCTCTTTCTTTCTGGAAGTCAAGGAAATTGGTACATTGTTCTTCCTTTCAGACAATGTCCAAATCAAATATAAATACAAAACAAATGAGAATAAAATAGAAAATAGAAATACATAATCTACTTTGTTGGATCGATTATAGCAACTAACAGAACGTTATTTAAGAATATTATAGCATCAATCATCTATTCCAATCTTCCTATCCAGTGTTAGTTTGTGACTGGCCATTGTTCATTGGTTTAAGTCATAATGATATGGCCTACCAAATTTTTACTACCCAAGAATCAGTGACAGACCCTATATAGGGTCTGTGGCAGAATCAAGTAAAAGTTATATACTCGTTTTTGTTTTTTTTATTAATTACGAATTTAACACGATTTTCTGATTTTTTAGTAGGTCTCTGTTTTCATATAGCTGGGTCTCTGTTTTCGAGTAACAGAGACCCGAGGTGGGTATACGGTTTTCGAGATACCTCTTGGTTGAGACACCCGTATTTTCAATATCATGATATGCAATTGATGCAACTACTGTATGATCAAAGCAATACGGTAGACTATAAATATCATTTCGCAAACAATGTACTTGAATATAACATGCCTGGAATTCTTTTCTGCACCGTCGGGGTCACCACCATAAATCAAAGCCGTTGGATTCTAGTACAGTAGTAGAATAGCCTTAAAGCTATCAAATTAGAACGAAGGCCTATTACCCACCCGTACATTTGTTTTATATGACCTATAATGTTAATAGTAGTAATATGTAAGGTTTGCAGTTTTGTTGGTTTGGCAAACATGACGAAATAATGCCAGGTCTTCATGAAGAAAACTAAATGGTCTTCCGAGGAAGATGCAACTATGTACTGAGCGGCCCATCATGTCACCATGGATATACGTCCCTGGTACAGTAGTGTTAAGCATGGAGGAAATATAATATATAATAGTATGATATATTTCCTCCATGTGTTAAGTGTAGCATTTATGTTTTCCAATACCCCTCAAATCAAGCAGCAATCACTGTAAATGTGTCTATATTACAGGACTTATGCAATTGAGTTGATTTTGTCTGCAGAATAATTCCTAATGCTGTGAGAGGATTTGAACACTGCTGCAGCTAGCCGTACGTATTTTTCCAAAGTAAGAATACTCTGGTAACTGACATTCAGAAGCAATGATGAAGATTCTAGGCAAAGAAAATCACGTTTCTAAAGTTGATTGTTGTATTCTGTGAAGAAAAGTGGATAAGGATGCGTGCCCTTCTAAAAATAGATTTTTAATTGTCACCAAAAATTCTCATTACATTTGGCCTCATACGTGACAAAGACACTCAGCTTAGTGGTAACGGTGACAGCTTAGATTTCTGTAGGATTTATTCGTCGTTTGCTATGCCTCGTGGAAAAAAAAAACAATCAATGAAGAAGTAATTAAAGTAGTGTAAAAAATGTGGCTTTACTACACAATTCTTAGACGTTTGTAAGCCTAGCTTATGTCACGTTGAAATAATTTAAGGGCCTGTGCTGCACTTTTTTCTTGAATAAAGAAAACATGCACCTGATGATAAAATACTACCAAATTAGGCATTCCTTACAATATCACGTCGAATTGTTTTCCTTTAGCTTGACGTCGCCTAATTAAGTGAAATGTACACCGACATTTTACAGAATAGGACGCTATACTATAGCATTAGCAACATTCGAAAACAAAAGTTTGTTAAAAACAGCCGCGTTCAGTTTACAACCAGCAAATAAAAACTAAATTTCAATTTTTTTTTTTTTTTTTTTTTTTTTATTTAATAAATCAAACTATACAATAAAATCGAGACTTACTGTTACTGTACACCGACTATTGTATGTTCAGTTGATGGTTTCTCACAAAGAACCGTTTACCTGGCAGGTATCAGTTCAGTTACAGTGATGGTTTTGCTGATGCATTTGACAGCAGATAACACCAAACGTAATTCACAAAAGTAGTGTTTTGAATTGACTGTACTGTAAAAAAACCCCACAAATTACGCGTTATATAGCAGTGTTATAACTTTAAAGATGCTGCTCAAACCAGGGAGATGTCCCTCCTCGGACCGACTGCAAATGCATCATCTCAACTCAACTCAACTCACTTGACTTACTGGTAGGTCGAATTACAGGGAGGATGAACTGGCAATGAGCAGTTTGTTGACCTCGTGGAGGAGCTACCGTCGCAACTGTTGGATATGGTGGCAGCAAATCAACTTTTTAGTACTGCTGACTGTACGGTATAATATTATTAATCAAAAAATGATTATTACCCTCAACCACATGTTTATGGTATTGAAAAAAATATATATTTTTGGAAAAAAAAACAAAAACAAAAACAAAATGGGGGAAAATGTTTTTGAATTTTTTTTCATATTAGTAGTTATTAGATATTGTTTGTATTATCTCGATCATGTATTTTACTTTGAAAATCAATGCTCCAACAAACATGAACCCAAAGGTGATATCTGGCTTTAGAAAAATAAATAAATAAATAAAAAACCTCCCTCCCCCATCACTTTTCTAGCCTAGATAGGTTGATCAACTAATTAAAGAAAAAAATTATAGGGCCTTATCAAGATATTTATGTAAATTTTATTTTAACTATCTGCATTTCATTTGATATATTGACTTGATTTTTCAAAATAATTTTTGGGTTTTTGTCAACTATAAATACAACTCGTGTCGTGCTTCTAAGGCTTTTACGTTGTCATTCATAAAACATATTTTAAACAAATAACGTCAACACATCGTGATTTATTGGTTTACATTTGAACAGTATATACAGATTGGCAAATTTGTACATTTATAAATCATGTGGGGCCTAGAGTTATACTGCAATGATAGGCGTATCCACAATTTTAATTGCTTCCTTATACGTTCAGTTTAGGCCTTGTTCCATTCGAATCTGTCCAGATTGTCGAAACCCAGTTTGTCGAATGCTAATCAAAATCGTGAATCAGAATGTTTATGTTCAATATGCATGATTCGAGGCTCAGAACAGGACTTCCATCTTACTTTTTCGTAGGCCTTAAAAAAATAGTAACAGAATTGTTTTTTTCGAACGAGCAATCAATAGGTGTAGGCCTACAGTGACAAATAATTTTCTAATAAGTATGTGCCCTGAAATATTGCCAATCCATTTTGCCGAAACCCAGTTTGCCGAATGCCAGTTTGCCGACTCACATGAATCCCATTTTTCCGAACCCCAGTTTGCCGAAAGTCAATAAAAAGCAGTGAAACATTAACAACCACAGCATAAAATTCACAATTCAACACTCTCTTCAATCATTGCATCTATACGAAGTGGCGATTGAGAATTTAGAACAGGGGTGGCGGGAGGGCCGGGGGAGGGCTGCTTTCCCCCTCCCCCGTCGGGGAGAAAAAGCACAATTCGTCGGGGAGAAAAAAAAATTATATGTATTTTCTACATATTAGTAGACGCTAAAATCGATTAAATAAGCCTTTGAGCCGCCTAAATTGTCAAAATTTTCAGGGGCTTCGCCTGTGGACCACTTTTAAACTTTTTAATCGAAGATCGACCACGCCCACTTTGCTTCCATCAGGGAAATTTAATAAGTGTATTTAATAAGTATATTTAAATAATAATATGTCTATAACTCTGTAAGTACAGTATTGTCATGATTATATCATTATTGTCATCTTATCGTTATTGTCATTATTAGTTGACTTGGGGCCGAGTTGACTTGGTGCAGAGTAGACATGGGGCCGAATTGACTGGGGCCGAGTTGGCTTGGGGCCGAGTTTTCTCGAATTCCCAAGCTTACATAGCGGATATATTTCCACGCAGCCTTTACTATACAGTCGCCCACCTAAAACGTAGCCGAAGCATTTACAAATAAATGGTGACTGCTCCAGTGATTTACATTTTGCAGTGACAAAGGCTTAAATTATCTGACACATTGCACCCAGCATATTTCTACATGGTAATTTTAAACAATTTCAACAAAAACGTTAAAATTATCTATACATGTTTTACATGACAACATTTTGTGAGTTGTGCACATATTATGGGCTTGATAATGCTGCGACAATGTCCACAATATATGCATTCACTTCACTTTAGATTATCACCCCTCTACAACTCTGGTGCCCTTTGGCAATGCAAGTTGATGCATGCAGAAGGTTGGTTGATTAATTGATTGAATTTATTCAATGCTCAACATGCACAAACAATATAAATATGGTTTGAGAACAAGAAAAGTGAAAATTAATGAGCATCAGGAACACCCATTAGGCCGGAGTCTAGCCCATTTCCAATGGGGTCCAAGAATGCACATTTTAAAAATTACATTTAAAGTCATTAATATTTAAATTTTAAAATATCTTGGATTGCACATAATTAAAATACAAAACAAAGCTTTCATCAAGAACATTAAAGAATGTAAAAAATTTAAAAACTGCACCCAGAGAATGTGAATTTAAAGTATTAAGTGTTACAGTATTCAAGGCACAAAGTCTACCACTGTATAGGAACAGATTGTTCATTTGTTTATCCCAATAGCCAGTTTCCATGCACATTACTTGTAATTTGATAAATATTGGTTATTGGTAATATTTGGGCATTTGTAAAGTAATTTGGTATATACAGTACAGATCAAAACTTGGTGATTTGTGAATCATTATTTTGCAAATCCCAATGTTTTTATGAAGAATTCTTAGCTGATGCTGAAGGAAAAAATTGAAATCCAAAATATTCCTTCACTTTCCTTTTTATAGGAAGTGACTCAGCTGACTTAAGAGGGTAATGTACTACAAGGTCTTGCATTTCCTTATGATTACCAAACAAAGGTTGCATTCTTTTTTTAACAATAAGACATTATTGGATCAACTTTTAGGAAAATAAATTTGAGGAGAGATTTAGCTTCAAAATGGTGGGCCTGATTGTTGCAGATGTGATCCCGGTGGTAACTCAGTTAGGGACCTGTGATATTGAGCTCTGTTTCGGCGACATTGCTAAACTTCCTGTAGAAGAAAAAGTTGATGTTGTGGTTGTTTCTGCCTTTAGAGGTGAGTTTTGTCTTCACATTCCTTTATTTCACATGATATGATCTCACAAAGCAAGCTTGTCATGTTAATATATTAATACTTAGTATTTGCATCAGGTTTGTACTTGTTATATCATCTTGTGATTATGAAAAGAAAGGTTAATAAAATATTGATTATTAGCCAAAAAATGTAAATGGTTTATTTACTTTTGGAATTTAATCTAAGAAAATGATAATCTTAATGATAGAGCCATGAAGATTATTTTAGTAAATAATGTCACTCTATCTGATGTTAAAACTTTGTATTGTTGGGGATTTATCAAACAGGAAATTATAGGGCAACACCAACATCATTGATTGGGGCCTTGAAACGAAGTCTAGATCTTGGAGTTGGGAAGCTTTCTCTAAACAAAGAAGAAGATCTACGTGAGATACACCACTGCTGGTGGACTCCTGTGCTGCCTAAACACCTGCCATTCAAACGACTCATGTGTTTTGAAGCTAAGCAGTAAGTTCAATTACATACTATTTTTATGTGTAGTTTGTTGCATATATATAATATTCTAATTTTAAGGAGTTCACATTCATACCTGTTGAAAGTTAAACATCCTGAGCTCCTCACTCACTGAATGGCTGCAATGCCAGAAAATATTACGGTACAGTATTTTAAAATTTAATGGTAACATATGACGGCCTTGATTAATTCTTCACAAAACAATCCTGTCTAAGATTGACACCTGTGTAGAACCAATCTAGAACCCTCTTTAAGGATACACTCTTTGGGCTGCTCAGTACCAATACTTTTAATTTGGAACTTAAATTTGAGAACCTTTTGTGCAAAGTGAGACATTGTCAAACACATTGATAAGAAGAGTTAAAGTAATCCACTTCTAAGATAGGTACCTCTGATCTAATCATTCTGGATGACAAAACCACTACATTAAGACAGATTTGTACATTGTAGTTCAGACTTCACAATAAACAAAGTGTCTTTAAACTGCATGTTAATTATGATATAGGTTGATAGCTGGTTTTCAAAATATAATTGTTGTCAAGGTGTGTATAAACCAACGTTTATGAAGTTACTGAAAATTATTGCCAGTCTTTATGACCATATTGATGGAGAAGTGTTTGGCATAGATGTTGTGGCTAAAATGTTTTACTAAGATGTTTCCTAATTGTTTGGTGCAATTGTTACCAAGGTGTATGTAACACAAGCATTGCTGGAAAATAGAAAGCAGATCTTCTTTATAAAGACTACAATAGTTACAAAATTGTATAGGCAACTCAGATTTCTTTTGGAAAATGAATTATTGCGAAGTCAAAGATGTGAATTAAAATTAAAGTTTACAGCACTTTCCTATCCATTCTTATACATTCATACTTGTATTCTTCTAGTGTAGGTTTTTCTAGGCCTCAAGAACTTGTTGGAGATGTGTTTCGTTGTCTGATTCCAATTCTGAACAATCAAGATGGTTCCGTCATTACACCTCTACTTAACACAGGGGACCAGGTAAGACGGAATAGAGTATTGGGAAAATAGTTTCCACACAACGTGATAAAAAAGAACATATTATTTTGTTTGGTTTAAGATATACTGTGCTACCCAAAAATAAGAAAATCCTAACAAATTATAATGCAGATTATAGAAATAGTATTATTTAAATGCCTTTTAAATGATGGGGAAAATCTTATACAAAAATTGATACAAAGGTTCACAATTAATTTTAATATTTTTGAATTTCCAATTTAGAAATAATGTGGCATTAGAGATACCTAGTTTGTATTCTTCAAGATGTATATTAATAACTACCTAACTATTTAGTCTTATGAGAATCTTCAGAGAACAGCATAGTTAAGTCAGCTAAACTAGTACTAGCCACTGTGTGTGCACTGAACCGTGGAGATCCTTCTTTACTTTGTTCTATTCATCCGCTGCTCTCCTTGTGTTTCAACTTGACGGCTGGAATGCAAGTGTGAAAAAACTCTTTAGGAAGGGGCGTTTAATCTGTTGATCCTGTGTTCAATATGGCCCATGTGCACGTTAAAGAATACAGTACACTCTTCAGAAGAGTAGGGGTCCTCCTGGTGCACTTCCCAATTACCACCAGAAGGACCCCACCGGAAATAAGTCTTTAGACTTTTATAGGTTGTCCTTTGTGTTCACATCGAATAAATCCAATCCATTATTCAGTGGTAAATTCAGAACTAGAGTACCAACTTTGCATTTTGCTAGGGGTACAGTAAAAAGAAAATGATGAACGGAATGGTGGAAGCAGCAGTGAACTGGATGAAGGCTGGCCTACCATTGCGCAAGCTAAAGATTGTGCTGTATGCTGCAAATGTGGACGATAAACAGGCATTGCTAGAGAAAAACAAAGGAATATGTGAACTGTTTAAAGAGCTGAAGGAAACACATGGAATGAAAGAACTTGTACAAAAGGTATAATATTGCTTATACAGTGAAATTATTTTTCTTGTCTCCATTAATTGATGGCGTTGATGATAATGAAGATTGTAGTGGTGTAATCAGTAATGGCAATTTTATGTATTCATATTACACTGATTTTAATGAAAAGTATTTTTTTATGATTACACTACGTCTATACTCAAGTTTTTTTTTAATCTTTCTTTTATTCAATGCATAGAACATTCCTATCGAGTATGATGCATATATTTCATTTTCTAAAGAAGACGAAATGCTTGCAGCCACCATAAAACAAAACCTGGAGTTAGCTAAGCCAGATATTCGCATATTTGAAAATCAGCAGGAAATAAACAAGGAAGAGGTGTGGCAGGGGGACATGTATGAGGTTATGATACGATGTGCAAGAGTCATTACAGGTAAGCCCAGCTCAGTGGTTTATCTAGGAGTATTGATATGGGGTGATGTTGAGAGGTAGGGTTAATTTTGAGGGTGCAGTGATTAAAGGTACACTACAGTAGCTATTGAAATAAGGTTACTGACACAATGATGGGATTATAAATTACTTCAGTGCAACTTTTGGCTCAACAAATTGTCTTTGGGTGTGCTAAGTTATTCTGGAGGCCACTGGTCTAGTCTCCTAAAAATAAAAATGTAAAATTACTGGTGTTAAATATTCCATCTTAATAAGTTCTATGTTAGTTTTTAAAGTATTTTTTTGCACATAGATTCTTTGGTTGAAGTATTTATTGATGGTCTCTAAATAACAAATTAATGTTTAGTAGTGTTTATTCATCAGGTATTATTTGGTCAGATTAATGCAGTGATGTTAGATAAATGAAATTATTTGATCAAATATGTATCATTATCATGTAATGTCTTATTACAATTTTGTTCTGTGAGTCTGACAGATATCTGATACACAACAACTTGATATTCTTGAGTGCACAGGCCATACATTTGTATCATTTTGTATATATATAAAATCTTTGTATGTATCCAATACTTCGGGATTGGAACCAGAGCAATGCAGTATTCTCCAGAATTTTCTATGTGAAGCTAATGGCAGTGGTGGATTTTGGGGGGGGGGACATAATAATACATTTTCTTACCTCAGTCCCAACATGGTGGTATAGACCCTCCATCTGTAAGAAGTACCTCGATAGGTCCCTATATTTTAAATTCCTGTCAGCCACTGAATGGGGATTTTTTTTTCAATCAATGTGTATCTTTTTTTTTAATCTTCCAGTCCTTACTCCTCAGTACCTTAGAAGTGTTTCATGCATGGAGCAGTATAACATGGCATTGTGTTGCAACCGGACAGCAGAGCGTGATATTCTTGCCCCATTTTATGTTGAGCCTATTGAGGTTATGCCAACATACATGGGACTTGTTCAGTATGTGGATTGCCTGTAAGTCCAAGTTCATTCTCTTTAATGTTTGTGTTGGTTCTTGCAGTCATTGTATTCGAAAATAACATTTTCCAGTTTTTATAGGTTAGGAGGTCATGTACGCCATCGATTCTTTGTGCAGTATTGTATAAATGCGTATTACATGAATCATTCCTGTATTTACTATGCAAATTGTATTGCTTTTGAGGTAGAAAGTATTTGAGGTAATTGAGTGTAATTAAGAAATAAATATTAATTCCAATCAACCATCTTACATAAAAATTTGTGACATCCATTTTGGCTTTTGTGATTTTTTGTGAGATTATTAAACTTAAAAAGAATGTTCTTCACCCCACAGTAGTCACACTCTGTACCTATTTATAGTTAATTTGTGTATTGTTATGATTTTAAATGTTTTTATGACAATATAAGTGAATTCATAAAGCACAAATACTTGCCAGGGCCATGTAAACCAAAGGCAAGGTGAAAATAATGTAAAAGCAGAATAAAGATTGACAATGTGTCCTTTTTATTTTATTATTTATTTTGTATTTACAAAGAGTAAAAGATACTGATAAAATATATGCGGCCTGTAAACAACTCAGTTCAACACTTGATGTCAAAGTTCATGCTGAGGTGGCTTATGAACGTCCAAAGCTTGAGTATGATGTGTTTATCTCATACTGTCATCGTAATTCAAACAAAGCTGCCGAGGTGATGGAGACAGTTAAAGCTCTTGATCCCAATTTGAAGGTGTTTTTCGACACAGAAGAACTAAAAACAGGTAAGATAGAAAAGTAATAGTTGATCATTGCAGGCCTGTTGGCAGGTTTTTTGATTGGGGGAGGGGTGTTGGTGATCGAACAAGCTTTAAGCTGGGAGACGGCTAGCATTTTGAGGGCTTTGTTTAAGGGGATACTGAAACCCTTAGTTCGTGAAAATTCTATTTAAATTTCCATTAATTTAGGTGTTGTTAGGTACCTGAAGAAGTAAATTTTGATGTCTGTTACATCTGTAGGCCTACATTTTAACATTTTAACTTTTTGTTCATGTGGATCAATCTGCAATCACCAGAGCTGACAAATTTTGTATCACATTCATTAAAAATCAATGGTTAGTAGAGCTGGCAAATGAAATGCAATGATGCATAGCATTTGGCGATAATTAGGAACGATGAAAAGGTTTAAAAAGTAAACCTTTTGAAATTTGGGGGCTTGCATTGATTGTCATCTTTACAAGAAGAAGCATGCTAGATAGATGGCACATTATAACTGCCATATTATCATTCTCTTATCATAATTATTATGATTAGCTTTTCATCATCTTCTGATCATCATTATTTTTATTAACAGGAGCCACATGGCAGCAGATGTTGTACCATGCCATTGACGGCACCAAGTGCTTTGTTGCTGTGGTAACTAAAGACTACCTGAAATCGCCAGTTTGCCAAGAGGAGTTTAATCTCTCCTTAAGTAAACATTGTCAGCAGGTGAGAATTTTTTTTTTGGTTCCTTACAAGTAAGTCTTTGGAATTACTTGTGAAAATTTCAAGTCTGCATAGTGAGTGGTTTCGGAGATAGCACCGCCTGTCTTTAAGCACAAAACTTAAAAGCTTGTGATTTTCTGTGGTAAAACCAGTGTAACTGCTGTTTTGCCTCGGAATGGAATTTTGAAATTATTTTGAGCTGTTGATGGTGCTTTCATATCAGTAAGGTATATAATTGCCCCAGATGTGATAAATTCCAAAAATATGTTTCACTTGCGACATACTACACCTGACATGTTTCGGAGGTAAAACAACATATCTGTGAATATCGTTAATAACTTTGCAATAAACCAATGGCTGTAATTAAAATTTTACGTATAATCATATAGTCATGCAAAATTTCAGAAGGGTACAACAATTTATTGCCAAGTTGCAAACATGCAAACTTTAACTCTACATTTCTTGAAAAGTAAAAATTTCAAGTTACATTGTTTTGACACGGAACGGCCATACTTTATGTTTGCAGTCTTGTATGCAAGTCGCCTGCAGCTTTTCTTCATATCATCAGTAGACTGTCCTTATCTAGAACCATTAATTATAGAGTCTAGAACATTGTTATAAAGACAGTAAACTTTATTGTAGGCACTAGTACTAAACTAGAAATTGCAAATTGCAAGTGAAGTGCTGCGAAGTACAACTGCATAAAATGTTCTTCGAACAAAATTATTTATGCGAGTCAAGTGAAAATAATGAATAATAAAAATATAACAAATAATATGAGCACAACCCATTGTCTATATATTATTAGAACAGCGTTGGTACAATAGTGTTTTGCTGCAGTGACATCTCTGCTGGCGATGACTCGCTGCTGGCGAATCGATCTGCGTATGTGTATAAAATGGTATTTATTTCCGCATGCCAGTCTACAACAAGCGTCGCCTAAATGTAATAATTAGCACGTTGAAATAGGCTAGTAAATAAGTTTAACTGGGTTCGTAAATAATAGTG